ACTAATTTACTTACGCGTTCTTCAGATAGTTGAGTACATCGGTGAGGACGCGTGGTGAGACGTAGACTCTGTTTCGGTACTGGTCGAGGATCTTGAGGAGCACCTCTAGGACGCCCTGGCTGAACGTGGGCAGATACCACTCTGCGAATTTTTGGTACTTTTCACTAACCACATTGCTGGGACTGCCATAACTGAATATATACATGTCATATTAGTTATTTTGACTATAAACATTATAATGCCGTCAACGTACCGCTCGAACATGCGAACCATAATGTGCAGGGCCCACTTCTTGGTCTTCCAGTAGGGAAACTCTGTTCGCTCGTCATCGTCCAGGTGCGAGCTATCGGGCACTGCGCGATCAGCCACCTGACGACAGATCTCCATCCACTGCGAGAAGATCTCCTTGGTAATGAGGTCCAGTGGAAGGGTGTATTGCGTGAGAGCATAGTAGATCTTGAGAATCTGCTTTTGCAGCAGCACCGATTGCTCGGACTGCTCAGCCAGCAGTCGCACCATCAGCTGGTAGATCATGGGCAGCAGTAGGTTCATTGCCTCATTTAGCGGCGTCCTATCCTCGTGCCGCTTGTACTCGTAGGTCTTGACCAGCTGGTACATGGTCACCAGAGCTCCGTTCCAGCCGTTGACATCTTGGTTTTGCAGATAGATGCTGATGCTGTCCACCACCTGTGGCCAGCGGCCGGGGAAATCGCTCTTGATGATGTGATTTACGCAAACAGACAACTGGACCCTGGGCACAGAAAAAAAAAATTAGCTCCCTGGAGAGGATTTTCAATGGATGCACCCACCTGATCAGCTCGGGGGCATGCACAATAGCATCTACAATAGCGCCACGGATCATGGCCCTGTCCTGTTCGTGTATGGAGAAGGGTATCGGCTCCCCTGGCTTTGCCTCGTGGTCCGACCAACTGCTGTTGATCAGATTCTTGAGGTAGACAGCTCCGGCCTGGCGCACCGGCTGCTCCACCGTCGTCTGCATAACGATCTGCAGTATGGTGGGCACAAATCCGATGATTTTGTGTATCTGTTGGGGTTATAATGTATAGAAATGAAATATAATGTATAGATTTCTTTACACAGCTGTTTTTGTGGGCGGGGTTAAAGGGGGCGAATTGGTCAAATAGCGATGGCAGAAGCACTTTAAATTCCGTTCACAGAGCTCGTTTAATATGGAAGAGCCAAGAACAACTGCTGGCCATAAATGCTGATAAAGTTAACTGACAAGGAGGGTTGGTGGGTGTTGATTGGGAGGGGCATGCAAATCGTTAGATGCTGACTCAGTCATAATGAGCATGCCTCTACAGTGGGGCCAAAGCAAATGGTCAGTGGGGTGGGGTCTAATTAGACTGGCCGCTTTGATTGCCAACATTAAATTCCAAAGAGGATTGCGTAAGCTTCAATTAAAGGGCTATCCGGCGATATCTCGAAAGTCTCAATTAATTATTTATTAGCAATTCAATTGATTTCCGAAGAACCAAGTGAAGACCGCAGTGCAGCGGTACTAATTTGCATATATAGACATAAATAACATACATGTGCCTCATAGATATCGACTTGTTGCCTGTGGGGCAACAACATAGAAGTCGGGATAATGGTAAACACATAAAGGGCAAACTTTTTGACCGATATCGGCTTACACTATCCACACCCACATACTTGCACAGTGACAAGAGAAAGGGAGCGAGGGAGGGAGGTTAAAAGCGAACAATTAAAAAAGCACATGGTTTTCAGTCGATGGCGCCACCTCAAAGACCTTTCGAATTTAAGTGGGGGCGTTTATTTTTGGGGGTAAGCTCACCTGGGCCAGTTGATCTTCGGCCGCCTTGCGCTGATCCGGATTCGGATCAATAGTTGCGCGCAACAGTTCCGTGAGTTTTTGTGCCTCCATTTTTGCTACTCTTGCCTGATTCCACGTTTCGCCGGTCTATCTGCTGCACGTCGTCGTTTGGCGGTCACCTTGTGCCCACTGTGCACCCGCTGCTCTTGCCTTTATGTAGACCTTGGGTTTATGCTAGCCGCACAAGTGGCTCCAATGTGGGGGCCAAATTGCAAATCTCTTTTCCGGAGGAAAAAACGTGGAAAAGGCTCCACACACGCACACACACACCGCCGAAATTCGCGAGACGAACGAAGCGTAGAAGAAGAAACAGCGCCAGGCGGTGTTGAATAACGCCGCCTTGCATTGCGCCCTACAGGGCTGCAGCAAGTTCTCCGATAACAGTTTAGCGTAAAATTCGAGCCATCCTATAGCTATCTACAAAAAAGCTTTTAGCATTGAAAAACTAGCTACCATTTTTAGATAGACCATTTGCTTTATAATGAAAACGAGTAGCTGTAAGAAACAGACATTTTCTTGTGTCGTTCTAACACAGTTTCCGATTAATTGCCATTCCAGTTGCATTGCCAATCGATGGTTGATCGAATGGCCAATCGAATGTGTGTGTGACGAAGAGCAAAGTGACACATAGTTGGAGGTGTGGTTGAAAATATATAGAAATCCGGGTTTATCTGCAACCGAAACGAACGGAAATTGGTGTCAAAGGAGAGCGAGGATCGCAACTGAAGAGCTTTAACAGGCAGCAAGGCAAAAGGACGAGCAGCGACCATGGCAGGCAGGCTACCGGCATGCGTAATCGATGTGGGCACCGGGTGAGTTTTTAGCTTCGATTGCCCGTGGGGGTCTCCAATTGGACGGAAAGGAGGTCGTCGGACTAACACTCTGTTTGCCTGCAAATTCAGCTACTCCAAACTGGGCTTTGCCGGGAATAAGGAGCCGCAGTTCATTATTCCCTCGGCGATTGCCATCAAGGAGTCGGCCCGAGTGGGAGACACCAACACACGGCGCATCACAAAGGGCATCGAGGACCTGGACTTCTTTATCGGCGATGAGGCCTTCGATGCCACCGGCTACTCCATCAAGGTATGCTCTTGCGTCTGTTGTCATTAAACAACCGCATCTCATATATGATGACATTCCAACAGTACCCGGTGCGCCATGGTCTGGTGGAGGACTGGGATTTGATGGAGCGCTTTCTGGAGCAGTGCGTCTTCAAGTATCTGCGCGCCGAGCCTGAGGATCACTACTTCCTGCTGACTGAGCCGCCGCTAAATACACCCGAAAATCGGGAGTACACGGCGGAAATAATGTTTGAGACGTTCAACGTTCCTGGTTTGTACATCGCCGTCCAGGCGGTGCTTGCCTTGGCCGCTAGTTGGGCCTCCCGGTCCGCCGAGGAGCGCACCCTCACAGGCATCGTGGTGGACAGCGGCGATGGAGTGACGCACGTCATACCCGTGGTAAGTAGCACAGCCCTTATCTTATCAGCAGAGTTGGGTTTGCTTTGGATACGGTAACACTGTTTGGAAAGAAAGAATCAAATACCGAAACAGTCGTCGTTCATTCGGAGTTAATTTTAAACGAAATATAATCTCAAAAATTGTTTCCAGTTTTTGTTATTATTTATATTAATATTTAAACACATTTAAATGTGTGTGTGTTAAAATGCTTATTCGAGTAAAAAAAAGGGGTATTCAGAAACATATCTAAATAAAAGAGAGTATTGGTTATAACCATAAAAATATATTAACCTGATTTCATTTCTAGGCTGAGGGCTACGTAATCGGCTCCTGCATCAAGCACATTCCCATTGCTGGCCGTAACATCACCTCGTTCATCCAGAGCCTGCTGCGCGAACGGGAGGTGGGCATTCCGCCGGAACAGAGCCTCGAGACTGCCAAAGCGATCAAGGAGAAGCACTGCTACATCTGTCCCGATATCGCCAAAGAATTTGCCAAGTACGACACGGAGCCGGGCAAGTGGATACGCAACTTTACGGGCGTGAACACGGTAACCAAGGCGCCGTTCAATGTGGACGTGGGCTACGAGCGATTCCTGGGTCCCGAGATCTTTTTCCATCCCGAGTTCTCAAACCCTGACTTCACCATTCCACTGTCGGAAATAGTGGATAATGTTATTCAAAACTGCCCCATCGATGTGCGGCGGCCTCTCTACAATAACATTGTTTTGAGCGGTGGATCCACAATGTTCAAGGACTTCGGCAGGAGGTTGCAGCGAGATATCAAGCGATCGGTGGACACACGTCTACGGATCAGCGAGAATTTGTCCGAGGGACGCATTAAGGTGGGTGATATCACACCTGCTAGTGAGTCATACTTCTAACTTTGATTACGACGTTTTCGTTACAGCCAAAACCCATTGATGTTCAGGTGATTACGCATCACATGCAGAGGTACGCCGTATGGTTTGGAGGTAGCATGTTGGCCTCAACGGTGAGTTGTAGTGGTTAAAAATCTGTAAAATCCTGTCTATCTCAATCTTCTTGCCGTTTCTAGCCCGAGTTCTATCAGGTGTGTCACACGAAGGCTGCTTACGAGGAGTATGGCCCCAGCATTTGCCGTCACAATCCTGTCTTTGGTACCATGACATAATTGATCCGATCCAATCGGCTTGCAGCATGATTATTTGATTTATTTTTCCATTTGAAATTTAATTTGTTCTCCAACCATATATATATAATGCGTCTCGGTATTCCACGCTAAAGTATTAGTAATTATTCTTTTCTATATGTGTTTAGCTACTAACTCTGTGTAAATCAGTTTCGTTCTGTTCAATTTCGTGTGATTTTGTTAGGCTAGCTATAAAGCAACAACTCCGATGTCTGCCAGTTTAACACCACTACTTAAGGTGCATTTTTTTCTAGAAGTCGACTTTTATACCATACTCAAACACGATCACACACAGTCACACCAATCTAAGCTCTTGGAGAAATCCCAGCTCTATACACAATTAAATACGAAAACGGTCTACTTGTCATAGAAATATTTATAATTGCAATAGCTGCAACCAATACAAAAACTGAATGAACAAAAAAGGAAAAACGAAAAGAAATATTGATGAGAAATCTGTTTGTTATATTGATAAGCGTAATTAAAAAGGCATTAAATAAATCAATAAAACATTCTTTAAGCTCACACTTTTGCCGCATTTGATCTAAAGCTGGTACTGGAAAATTTTATTCAATGCATAAGTTTTGTATGTGTTCAAATTGCTCTATGTATTGTATATATTAATTTTGTGACGGTGTCGCTTAGCTGGGAAAATAGCAAAAGGTGGTTTCCGAAAAACATGTTACATGCTACAAATCCGAAAAAACGTTGTTACGCCTCACGTAATTGACAAGTTGACTAGTCTATGTAGTCACTGGAGCCCTCCTCCTCGTCGTTGCTGCTCGTGGATTGTGCCGCTGCCGTTTCCGGCGAACGCAAGTGCTCCGCAATCCGGAAGTTTTGCAGGAAGTCTCGCATCGCGTCCATCATTAGAGTTAATGACTGCTGCAAGCCAGCTTCTGCAATATTTTTGGAGAAGTGTAACTACGATATCCGATAGCGATTCTTTTGGAATTTCGGAAAAAATTGTAATTTAGATGTTTGTCGATTTCATAAAATGGAATGAAATTTAAATACCGCATTCCGCCAAGAAAAGTTATTGAACGAAAACTAATGTTTTAATTAAATGTAGGGAAATGAACGAAACGAAACATATTCTATGATCCATGCTCTGTGACGATACGGTGGCGACAAAATGGTTTTATCTCAAGATATTTGTAATAAATAAATCCTCATACGAACCTTCTCCTTCACGGACGGCTCCAGCGACGCCGGCAGCTCCTTGTTCAATGCCCGCTTCAATATTAGCATCGCCTGCGACTGCTCCTGCACCTGCTGCTGCTGGTCCTCCTTCTTGGGGCTGAGCATTTGCTGCCAGGTTGTTGATGTTAAACGAAGGCAACAGCGATTGAAAAAACATTGATACAGAATTGTTCGTATTCGTTGTGGGACTGCTGCTCGACGAGGATTTTCTGGAAATGTTGATTTTTAGAGTTTATTGACTTTGGGACTCGATCGACATACCGCTGGTAGCAGTTAACGCTATTTGGTGGCGGCAGTGGATCGTAGGTCATGATGGCTTGCTTTTCCTTGGACACGAATACCGCCAGCGGAACTTTCTCCTTGTAATCGGAGAGTATGACATGCCGCAGAATAGGCCTCGGTGGCGTTCCACTATACCGCAGTGATCGCTTCTCCTTGTACTCATTGACCAGGGGGTCCTTGCTCTCAATGCGATCTAACACTATGTTCACGTTGGACTCCAACCAGGGTAGCACCTCATTCTGACGCCAAACGACTCGTGCACGGCACACATACAGACAAACCAACTGGTGCAGGGCTGGCGATTGACTGGTGAACAAGATAAGGCATTAAATTCCACTAATCATTCAAGAAGATAAGACTCCACTTACTTGCCCGACACATCCGCAAAGAAGTACGATGAGGCCAGCACCCTCTTGTCCGTTTGAACCGACATCTCGTCCAAAAGGGGACGCAGAACACCCGGGAACATTAGCAGGGCGTATTGCAGAGCCTGGTTAGAGCGTTCACAAGCGCCATGGAGCGTGTGTAGAGCCAAAGCGTACGAATAGGCCATGTTGGGCAGCTGATTAAGGTTCCTCGCCGCATTATACTCTTCATAGAACTCCACCAACCATCCAAACTGCTTGCTGCGCAAGGCATAGTAATCAATGACTAGAATCATGGCAAGGGGATCAGTGTCTGGCTGGAGACTCAAGAGCAGTTTGGAGATCTCGAAGGCTGTGCGGCTGCAAGCTCGTTCCTCCAGGTACTGGGCGTGCTTAAACAGCACAATGTAAAAGGAGCGATTTTCCTGCCTCCGATAGTCCAGTCGGCAGTTGCCAGACGTCAAACTGAAGTTCATGTGCAGCGACGATTCCAGAAGGAGAAGGGCGCGCTCAAGGAGTTCGGATGCCAAGGCAAAGTCTTCCGTCATCTTACATACTTCGCTGAGTTGGACCAAGGAGTCGACATGATAAGGGCAGCGTTTGATAAGTGTGATGAGAAATTCCGAGTCAATGCGCTCAAGAGCAGAAAGGAACATTTGCTGCACTCCCTGGTAGTACTGGCTATGCTCGAAGGCAAACCACTGAACTTCCGACCCACTATCTGTGATGGATTTAGAGGACACCGATGGAGAGTCGGGGGCGGGCAGCAGCTTCATAGTGATGGTGTTTTTGGTCAGTGCCGGCCACGAATCCTTGGCGGAAACCATGTAGGTGGACTTCAGTGTGGGCTTCTGCCTGCCGCGCTTGGTTCTGCGAGAAAGTTTGATTGTAAGTAAGTATAGCGGGATAAAAGATATAACTCAAGTTGCAAGCTTACTCCACTTTTACCACCCGCTTGCCAAAGGTGCGACGCATCTCGTTCTGCGGATTGAGGTGCCGCAGCTCCACGGCTAGCAGTTTCTTGGTGGCAGAGGTCCCGGTGGCAGCCGATGCCACCTGCTTCGCCGATTGTCTGGGCACCGCATCGTAGACCTTGCCAAGGAGCGGATCCACCTTCTCGAAGTACTTGTCGTGACGCTCGTTATCCTCGCTGCTGATGTGATTCCCACTGGACTTGACCTTCTTCTTGCGCTTCTTTTTCTTCTTCTTGGCCGCGCTGGCACTTGCATTGGGCAGTGCAGCAGATGGGTGCTCCGTTTCATTGTCATCTTCCTTGAACTCACTCTCCGAGAGACTCAAGCCAGGTTGATTGAGCTGAAAAATTTGATGTGAACGAAGGGGATTACGCAGCTGAAGCGGTGATGAGCTGGCTATTATTGAATAGCGGCCTACCAAATCGAATGGATTAAGGTGCGACTTTCGGTCGCGTCGCATATCGCTGTCCTCCAGTTCATCATTGTCGCTCAGCTCCTCGCAGTCCTCGTCATCGGGCGGTGGCGCCAGCTTGTCAGCGTCGCCCTGCAGCTTCTTCAGCATTCGCGCAGACATCCTTCTAGTGTCCTTATATCCACAAGCCGGAATTCTATTTAATTAAAATACGTGTGTATTTCGCTGTTTTTTTCTTCACTACATTCCCATTCACACGGCTGCAGGGTTGCCGAGCACTGTGGCCACACGCGCTTAACAACACTGGCCAAGACAGGTGGTCCCGTCTTGGCGGGTATTGAAAGCTATTCTAAATTTTAAGAAGTGCTATGCACGATTTTCAGCTTGCTTTAGCTTATGGGGCTTACAGTCGGATTTGCCAGTGGAAAATATGAAAATTTTGAAGTGTAACTCACAGAAAAGTTAAGTAAATATAAATGTCTCATAATAAAATTAAATTGAAAATATTTAAAGTTTAATTTCATAAAACTGAGTTGACAAATTAATTTGTAGTGTCCAGGCAGTATATAAAAATAAAGTTAAGCAACCAAGAAGTCATTTAGGGCAAACTGTTTAATTGACAACAAATTTTCGTACAATTTGGGTGCAATTTACTGGCCCACGTTCTAAAAACAGCCATGATAAGGAAATCACAAAAAATTCTTGCCATAAAAGGCGCCTAGCAAAGCGGCCAATGTAGTGACGATAACAGCGGCCATGTAGAAGAAAGTGCAGCGTCCTAGGCGTGGACGACGTATAATAGCTTGGCCAGGACTGGTTCCAATAGTCTGGTCACGCAATTTGTAGATCTGGTCTTTGAGGGTCAGACGCTCGCTCTCCAGAAAGCCGACTTGCTTGAGCAACTTGGCCACCGGCTCATTGGCCTCCTGGGCATCGAAATGGACCTCGCCATCCATGTTGTCGTTTGAGGATCTAGCCGAACCTCCCACCTGACGGAACTCCTCCTTCGATGGGACCAGCTCACATTGGATCTTGGTGTCCCAGATATCCTCCGGCCTCTGCAGCTTCCAGAACTCCTGCATATCGGTTATGTCACCTGTCGCGTCGGCGGCTAGAAGAAGGAACTTGTGACGCTTCTGTATCTGCTCCTGAAGCATGGGCTGCATGAAAATGTCGACGGTGACCTTCTCCTCGGGCCCCAAAACTCCGATGTTGGGTCGCACGTAAAACAGTTTCGGAGTGGTGGTCTTCATCTTGAAGGCCATTCGCTGGGTCTTACTGGTGTTCTTGATGACCAGCTTTCGGCTTACCGAACGGCTGAATGGTCCCTCGAAGACGATCACATCGCACGGGTCTAGCGCAAGTTTGCTCTCAGCATTGTTAGGCATATTGAAATATTTATTCTTGTTTTTTTATCTTCAAAACTCGAAAGCGATATGAACTGCTCAATATATGAAAAATAAATGTAGCAAATGAACACGTTTCCTGACAATTCCGCAGCGGAAGTGACAAAAAAGGAATGTGGTACTTACTTACTTTTTCTTTCCAGGGCTGAATTAAAATCACATATTGTTTGATTTCGAATTAAATACTTTTTTTTGCGTAGACACACTGGTCGTGTTTTAAAGTCTTAAGGGCAGCACGATTCTAAATAGATTTTGTAATTGGCTTTAATAAATACCAATTAGATAACTAAATGCTTAGAGAACAAGATGATTTCAGTTTCAGTTCGCTCGTTTTATTGTTTTTATTCGTTTTTTTTAAGTATTTACAAAAATTCGACAAGTTTGTGTGACTGAGTGTGTGTCAGGTGGATGGGTGGTCCATCATTCACCAAAATATCATGCGTCCGGCGTTGGGGGAGGTGGCCTTGGACAGAATGATGCCCGACAGTTCCTCGTCCTCCATTTCGTTGCTGTTTTCGGATGGGAGGAGCGAATTAAAAAATGTTTGAGAGGACTTATTCGATTTACGCAATTTTATACACGTTTATTGGTATCGCTATTTGATTGATTGTTTTCTTTCTCATTTTTTTGTTGCTTGCTTGGTAATAAATAACAATGAATGTTGGTTGTCGAGACGGCGGATGCTGAGTGGGCGTCGAAATTGATCTCACGTGTGCGATGATGGGGTTTTTCGAAATCGAAACCGAAATCGATTCGATTCGATTTGGTGGGTGGATGCTTTTGTGGGCGGGTGCAGTACAACAGGCACAACGATAACAACAGTTACAACGGATTGCGGTAGCCAATTTCGCTTTTATGGTCTACAAAAAAAGTCCGGATATAGAGAAAGAAAAGGAAAGAGGAGAGAAAATAAAGTCATAAGATATTTACAAATAAAACATTTCGAATTCCATTAGAGGCAGAGGAACAAACACAAAATTCAAATGCAGAACGCAATACAAACATAGAACAAAACATATAGTATCGGTATGCAAACATGCGATTGATGATATAGTATGGACTGATTAAGCAGGGGAGCAGTGCTAAGTAGGGCCAATAATACACATTTCGTTTGAATTAGGTCACATTTTATTTCTCCTTTTTTTTGTATTTCGTTTTTTTTTCGGTTTTTGTATTCAACTTTAGGCACTATTTAAATATTAAATATATATTGCAAAAATCAATAAAAATATGCCTTAAAAACTCCTGCGCTAAAAATTAGGTTTGTACAGCATGTTTTGTCGTAAAAATTTTGCATTAAGTAAATTTCGATTATATGTACGTAGTTTAAATATCACTTAAATATTTTCGTTTTAAGCCACACGGATTAATTTAAAATTTTGCAATATCTAATTTACGTTTTGCGGACGGTTACAAGAACAAGTTGCATTCGCGAGAAATGTACAAATTTTTAAACATATTATATATAAATAGCATTTTAAATATAGAGTGTTTTCGTTGTCCAATGTATTTTGGTTTCTTGTAGTGTTTAGAATTAGTTGGTTTCTGTTTTGTGTTCTATAAATTAGATTTCGTATTTATGCAGTCGTTAATTGTGTTTTTCTTTCCATAAATTAGTTTTCGCAATGTAAATTCGCTTACTTATTTTTCAATAAAAAAATAATTATCAAAATCAACAACTAATCACAAGGCAAATAGAGTTTGAAGACAGAAAAGTAGGCGGGGGAGTGGAGTTCATATATATAATTTTTTTTTTGGGCAACGCAGGCGAGTTTTAGTGGATGCTTAGCGACACGAGTCAACGAATGGCGAGTAGAAATAGCGAACGAGTACCAACACCAGAGAAAGAGAAGTAGAGCCAGCAAGTGGAGGTAGAAAGGTTGTAAGGGTCCCCAGGGGAGGAACAATGAATGCGTGATTGGATGAGATTCTTTTTAGATGGCACAAATGCAGCGAGTGGCGAGAAACGGGTTAACAGGCACTTAGTGGGCGAGTGGCGAGTAACTAAGAGCACCTTTTCACGATCTGATTTCTTTCGAAGTACTCAACTCAAAGCTTTTATCCAAAGCGATACCATATTAGGCAGTTAAATCTACATGGAAATCAGTTCGTGAAATGATGGATAATAGTGATATGGAGCAGATAGCGAGTGACGAGCGACAAGTGGGGACATCGGGTCCCGGTACTTCTCGACTCTCCGCCTCCTCGTTATGGCTTACTTTTTTATCAGCGAGCGGACCTTCTTCATCGTTCGATTAAATATCGTCTTGTTGTTTCCTCCGGCACTAAAGTTGGAACCCAGAGACGAGTTGGAGGTCTTGTTGCTGGTCAAACTGGCTCCCCGATGAACCGAGGCCGATGCCCTCTGTTGATTGCCATGTCGCAGACATTCGTCCGGCTGATCCTCACGCTCGCTTTCCGTCGCACTCACACCCTCGGGACTCTGGCGTTCCCTGACCCGTTCCTTTGCGGGTTGTGGAGGTCTTTCTGGTGTGGGGGATTTTGAGGAGGAGCTGGTGTCCCTTCGTTGGGGCTGCGGGGTCATTGGAATGGCCAGGTTTTGCATACTCTGCGTCTCATTTGAGAGGTCGCTACTCGGTGTCAGCAGCTCTGCTAAAGTCTGTTTGCTGAGAATATGGTCCAGACTTCGGGACTTTCTATGCTGCTGGACAGTTCCCGGTGGAGATAACGTATGCTTGTCACGCCGCGTCACAGCGTCACTGAGTGGCGCCTCGGTCACCTCTTCTTCGGGTTGCAGAGTGCTTGTGGAACTGGCGTTCGTTAGAGCTGTACTCCCCGCCGCCACCTTGGCCGCAGCTGCTGCTATTCTTTGCTCAGGAGTTGAGCCCGCCTGATCTAGCAGCCCATCAACACTGTGCGATCGATAGCCATTGCCCATGCCGGAACCAGATCCATGTCCCAATCCCGCGGCGGAACTTCTCCGCGGAGGCAGATACGCCAACGGCATCATATTCTGCATTGATCCTGCTCCGGTTTTATGGAGCAGGGCAGCCTGCTGGGTGCGATAGGGGGTGAGGATCTGGGAGCGTTTCGAGGGCGCCCGGGAATAACCACTCAGCTGCGAGGTGCTGCCCCTTTGGCGGGCCGGTGAGGGAGATTGGCGGTACCTATTTGCCTGGTGATTAGCTGCGCATGAGACGGCGTTTCAAGCGATTTCGAGTGTGTGGCAATCAGAATTAAATCAATTATTAATTGGTAAGAGTAAAGAGTAATGGGTAGTGGAGTTGTAATGGGTTGCTTGAGTAGTTGAGTGAGAAAGTAGTGGTTGTATGGGGTAGAAAGTGAGAGAGAGTTGTACTAGAGAGTGTGACTTGAGGATCTCTGCTTAAGCCTAGAACATATTCGAGTTGGCTAGCTCTGTAAATCGTTAGCTTAACTTGGCTCACTCTACGCTGGAGCCGCTGGGGGACTCTGGTTAGAGCTTGAGCTTGAATTTGAGTTGGGAGTAGAAGTAGTAGTAGATGTAGTACTCGTTGGCCCACCTTGTCCGCTGCCATTGGCCGTCACCATCAGGCCATCCACCACACTGCCCGTAACGCCGCCACCACTTCCTCCTCCAGTTCCTGCTCCTGATCCTCCGCCTGCTCCTCCGCTCTGGTAGTCGGAGTCGTTGCTGTGCATTCTTTGGTATGAGACCGAACCGGGGGTGCCGGGCACCATCGCCGCAATGCGATCGATATTCTTTTCGCCGCGCAAAAATCTGCCGCATCAGAAGAATGGGAATCGTTTAAGTGTTTAGTTTTGAACTGTTCTGGGTTATTCAGGCATAAGGTAATCGGTAATGGAGTTATCCATCGTCCTAGTCCCGGGCTAATCCAGATCTAAATGCGTCGCTTAATGTACCTTTCGAGCTTATCGATGCATGCGTCCTGGTAGTCGTGGATCCAATTAACACCGTTAAAATGGGCCACGCTGCGCATGTCCTCGGGAAGTCGCTCCACCTCGGGCCAATCGAATTGCTGGTCTATGATGGGTATAATGTTGCAGTTCGAGTTCAGGGCAGCCACGATTTCCTGCGGAACGAGTATTCCATTATGAGTATCTATTTGTAAAATGAGTCGATCCGCAAATGCAATACTCACGCGATGCACCCAGTCCTTGCAGTCCTCATCGTTAATGCAGCGGTGCAGGGCATCGGGTGTTAATACTAAGACAAAGTTCTTTGCCTGCCGAATACTGTTCAAAAGGCCGTTGTCGAATTTGCCCGCCTCCAGGCGCTCCACGTCGATGAAGACGGAGAAACCACGCAGCTGCAGGTGAACCTGTAGCGGATGGGATCTTGTAAGTGAGATTTCACTCTTAAAACACATTAGGTATACGCACCTTGAGAAGACTGGCCAGTTGGGAGCCATTGGACCGTCTGTAGCTAACGAAAACATCCAGAGTCTTGGCCATATTCTCCTCCGACGAGCTGGGCAGCGAATTCTCCAAGTTTTTGACCGCATTAAGAATGCGCAGACGATGGATCGAGTTGTGGATGCCACACTCCGTCATCAGCATATCCTCGTTAACATGCGGCAGTGCACACTTGTCGATTCCAGCATTCAGCATGGCATACGTGTAGGTGCAGTAGTCAGTACCGATCTCCGAGAGAAATTGGTGCATCTTGGCCGTGTCCTTGGATGAGTAGTCAGCCATCCGCTTGAGATTTTGCAGCTCGCGTTCAAAGCGCTTTAGAAGGATTCCATTACCGATTCCAATATCAGCCCGGAGGTTATCCTGGTTGAGCTTCAGGAGAAGATCGCCATCCACCTGGGACTCGTTAAACTTGTCGATGTAGTCGTTGAAACCGATTTGCTTCACCCACTCCTGCACGTCCTCCACTGACCACAAGGGAACCTGCTGGGACAGCTTGTGCGGCACTGTCTCTCCAATCAATCTTAAAGCCTGAGCGGCGAACTTGGAAGCAATGGCATTTGGACAGCTGGCCACGTTCTTCAAAGCTTCAATAGCGTTGATCTCCCGGAAGATGTCGGTGTTACCCTGCTCCCTCTTGATACCCGCCTCCATGCAGAAATGGAAGGCAGCCAGATTGCGGGCCTCCTCGCGATTGGAACTCAAAACCGGAACCAATCGCTTTAGCCAATGCTTGCTTTGCCCATGGGCATGTGCCAGATTGGATCTCGCAAAAGCGGAGGGGTCGTGTGAGGTGACAAAGGGCTCCACCAAATCCAGGCATCCAGACTTCAGCACCTCGGCTTCAATCTCCTTGTTGGCTACCAGCACTGCAATGGCCAAGCAGGCATAGTACTTGATGTTATCATCGTTGTGGAAGGCCAATGGGAAGAGCCACATGGGCACCTTGCGTAGGATCATCTCCTCCTGGTTCTCGGCACCACCATAGAGTGATAAATTCGCCAGTGCACTGGCGCAGTGACGCAGGGTTTCCAAATCACTGGTGCGGCACTCGAAGAGCACGGCATCCAGGCCACCCAACCTTATCACATCCGAACAGGTGCCCTCCGAGTGTTTGAACAGATGCTCCAGGATGCCAGTGCCCACGCGGGAGTGCTCCATATTGGAGTTCTTTGTGCAGACACAGGCCACATTGACCACCTTATCCAGGCCATTATCCACCACATGTTTGCGATTCTCGGTGGTTAGGCACTGCTCAAGGAGCTGTGCGGAGGAAAACTGGAGATCGGGTTTAACGCAGTTCTTCATGAGAAGATCAAGCCCGCCACTTTGGCGCAGGGAATTGCACAATGAGTAGCCCAGCTCGTGACCATGTGTGGGCACTGCCCAGGCTCGCCGTATGACTTCGTTGATCTTCTCCAGGTACTGGGACTTCTTGCCCCCAACATCGTGGACGGTTATGGCACTGCCACCTCGCTCATCTTCTTGCAGGGAGCTCACTATCGAGGTCAGCATGTTGGAATACTTGTTGATGGTCTGCTCGATCTCCTGCTGTCCACTTCCTGCTGTCAGCGACTTGAGGTCATCCAACTTGAGATCGGCGAGCTTCAGCATTTGCCCATTCATCGCGGACATTTGGGAGGAGCTGGTGATCATGCTACTGCCGGTGCTGGAAACGCCCTTGTGCGACATCGAGTAGTTGGCCTGCGAGGCGGAGGATACATGTTTCTCCTGACTGATTATCCCGTTGGAGGTCATCGTCTGGGATTGCTGCGACTGCGATATCGCCTTCTTGTCCGCGGAGAAATTCTCACTTTGCACCGTAATACTGGAGGCCGCCACATTGTTGCTCGCCTGCTGTGTGATGTCGCCGGTGCGGAGTGAGAGGGCTTCCTGGATATGATGGGGTGTTTTTGGGAAAAAGGGTAAAGCAATTAGTAAGTAGACTTTGTATTGCAATATTAACCATAAAACTGTTATACGAAGGTATGTACACGTAATGCACGTACTATCGTGGTCATGGGAAAAACAATTGACGTACTTTTGATCTTAAGTCATTTGAATTGGGAACATAAAAACTGCATGTATAACAGTTATGATACTGTCATACAAACTGTTATACCTCGCTAGAAACCTTTTCTCATCATCGTACTGCCTCAATAGGTCACTAAATCTAAACTAAAGCCTAGCAAACGCGCCCTCATCCCTGTTATACCTTGCTCTGCTCCACCTCAATGGGAATTTCGCGTACATTTCTCATTTGATTGCAGTTGTGGTTATTGTTGTGATTGGGTGTTGTAATTGCTGAGTGGTTGGTGTTGTTGATGGGCGTTGGAGGTGGCGGTTGTTGTGGCAGTTGTTGTTGTGGTGGTGGTGGTGGCGACAGTGGACAACTGCTAATTGGCTGTGGGGGCGGGTTAGAAGTCTTACGTACTCTGGTGTGCGAACTAGAACTCGACGAGGATTGCGACGAGCACTGCGACGACGAAGAGGAGGAGGACGAGGAAGAAGTGGAGGCAGCTGCTCCAGACATTCTGGCAGCGGACGCAGTGGACATGGTAGTGGCTGTCGTTGAACCCGCCACCACTTGAATGGGCTGTGGCGGTGGGGAGAGCGGTGAATTGATTCCAAATCTATTTGAGGGCGTGCCCAGCGGCGGCGGTGATAATGGCATCTCCACAATGGGACTGGGCGACCGGGTGGGCGTGAAATCCGACTGACCGCTCGAGCGGAAGATGCCCTTGCGAACGGGCCAGGGTGCCTGATTGGACATTGTTTCTCTCGCAAAGAGGTGGCAGGTATTTCAATGCCAAAGTCGGCTAGGTAGTTGGTGATTATTTCGTTCCGTATATAACTTGTGTATGTACTTATATGCTTATATGAGTGCTGCTGTTTCATCCGCGTATTTTTTCCTCGCTATATACTTGGTATTTTATTTATTTTCATTCACATAAAAATAGCGCACAAATTGGCTACGTCGACGTCGCCGTCACCGTCGCCGTCACTTTCTCTGTGTGTGTTGTTTTCTTTTTGTTTCAGTGTATTCGGGTGCTGTTTTTTATATCTGTGTGTGACACTGACCGACAAATAGAACTTGTAATAATTCTACAGCTTAATGGCAATTAACAAGGCACTTGACAAAAAACGATGATACTATTCACATTGCAGGGCGGGAAATGACCGAATCGAACACTTGTTGAGCCAATTTTGCATATGGAAATGGGGGAAAACTTAACGAAGGCATTGGTAAAAGCTCACATAGCGCCGAAAGCGGTAGGCCATCTGTCTCTTGGTTTTCGACTATCCGCTTTTGATAGATATTTCTTTTATTTTTCAAGAGGATTTCATAAAATTTTTTATTCGTTCAGTTTTAACTTATGTTCTATGACATTTTCGTGCGGTTTTCCTACGGTGAGCTTATTTCAATACACTTTTCTTTATGACCACTTGTTTTTTAAAATTGAATTTCACCACTGAGTCGAATCAGTTTGTAACATTTTCAGCATTCGAAGGTCGGTTTCTATATTTTTCGAAAAGCGTTCCACCTGCGACAATATTCTCATACGTAAACAGAATCGCTGTATGCTTATTTTGTGCTTTAATTAGGAAGTCTTTGTCACTTGCGCTTTATTTGTATTTAGTACGATCTAGCCGCAGTCACACATCAGTTTCTCATATATGCAAATGATTATACGTTCCGTTCTATTGTATAATTCAACATTCGATTCGCTGAAACGCTCACGACGCTCGTCTGTCTGCTACTGAGGACCGCGTATAGCTTTGAGGCGTTTTATTCTAAATAATTTCGAAAATAAAATAAAGAGAGCACGTCGATCTTGTTTTTGCCATAGAACATATGAAAATTCGGAGCGTTAACTCGTGGGAAATAAATCAAAAAATCATAAATAGGGAGGAGATTGTGAATGGTTCTCCCATTCTCCATTTGTTTCTTGGAAATCATTATGTGCGTGCCTTTCCATGGGATTCTTGCAATTGACGCAAATGTCCTAAGACTATTTGGATTATTCGGCAATCCATGAAAATGCTATCAAGTATTTTCATTGCTTCTTTTTTGATATTTGAACCCAGGCACTTGTAGGCGGCACATGGAGCGTGGCCGTCTGTCTGTTCGCTTATATTTTGGCGGTGGGCCAAGCACAAGCAGCCCATCTAATTGATGCCCTCGTGTGAGATTTTTAGTATCTTTCTATGGATTGAGATGGTTTATGCTAAATAAGGGGGATCTTTAATGGACGAGATGTTGATGGAGAGTTTTGTGATGAGTTGCACTAGATGCTATATTTCTGCCAATGTATGTAACTTTTCCCTGATACACTGAAAAAACAAACGACCATCCCAGACATTTACAATATATGCATCAGGCAGGAATTTCATCATCCCATTATAAAATAATTAAATCTAATCAACAATTAATGCAAATCAACAGTGATGTAATGCAGCCGCCCCAAAAGCTGAGCTGATTAGATAAAATCTACTGTTGGAACTGTTTTTCCCCTACTTTGACGATTCCTGGTAACCCTGGGTAACAGGTGTAATGGCGAAAAAGTACAAACACAATTAGATATATGGGTTCTATTGTACCTGAACTCTTCGGAACATTCCGGTGGGCTTGTCCTGCTTGGATTTGCAATAGTTACGGATGAATTTGGTGCTCTTGAGGAGCAGGCACTTGTTCAGGACCATTTCACATTACTTTTGCGTCGAATGTTGCCCGCTTTTCGGCGCCAGACAATCGATTTTCTTTGCTACGCGAGTAAGCGGCAATAGTTTTCCACTGGACGACTTTCACTTTGGGACAGTTTTCACCCAGAACTAGGGTATTAACGCCATGGCGCTGGTGTCCCTTATGCGACCTTAACATGCACGCGATGAACTCCCAACTGAAAGGAGTGTCATGGTCTAACATGGTCTAGCGAAAGCTTTCAAAGGGGCTGACCACCCTTCGGTGGGAATAACTCCCCTTTTGTGGTGTGCCAAAAAGCTCCTAACGAAAGCTCTTGTTCTTGGGAACTGATTTAGGGGCGAGTTCAATGGTTGTTTTACGAAGGTTATTAACTCTGATTTCCCTATTGACTAGAACATACTTAACAGGAACTCACCTTAATAACGGCTGCATTCTCCTCCGTTTTGACACCATCCACCTCCAATCGGTTCCTCATCGCCGACGCACCCTTGCTTTCCTGATAGTCTATATCTCCGGCCTGCAAACGTTTCATCGCCGCCGAGTTGCTGGTGGCCTGCTCGGAACTGAAGCCATCGGTGACCACCTTGGTCTTGGACTCGGTCTTCATGCTCTTCTCCTGGAACTTGATCGTGTCGATTGTCTTGCTCGACCCGCTCAGTCCACTGGCACTTAGCTGGGCGGCGGTGGGATGGGTGAGGTTGAGGCCGCTGCCAAAGTGGTTATGCGGGCAGTCGTCGTCATCCGGCAGGGTCACGATCACATTGCTGTCATCGTCGTCCACCAGGTTCTCGAACGAGGCGCGAAGTCTGTCGAAAGAGGAAATATTTTAGAAATGTTTTAAATAGCTGAAGAACGCGAATGTCCAATTAACTTCTAAATGGAATATCTAACTTATAAGTTAGTTACTAACTAATAAGTTCCAGTTGCCAACGGACAACCTCATAAGAATTTCCACAGCATGTGTCACTATCACCGATGATTGACTATCTGATAGATAGGCAGTACAGAAGTTTTTGCGACTTGTCACTATTTAACTGTGGAAAATTCCCACTCCCTTACTTACTTTTTTTGCAGCTGGGTGATTTTGTCCTGGCTGCTGAGACCCCTGAGATCGTCGATAGACGGATGGGCGGATGTGAGTTTGGGTGCTAGCCGGCTCGTCGTCGTCTGGGACATTGTGCCGGGGGCTGTGATCGCCGAGGCTGAGGTGGTGCTAATGGATCCAGGTCCGCCGGTGATCCGCTCCTTGGCCAGATCGTTGATTTCCGACATGGACTTCTGGATGTTTGTGAGATCGCGCTTGATTTCCGCCGCCTTCATCTCTGACGAGGTGGACAGAGCCTGGGTGGTCGAAGAGCTGGAGGATGAGGAGGTTATGTGATGGTGCAGGCGCTGGGACTTCTTCTCCACCCGCGTCGTTGTGCTGCTGCTGCTGCTGTTGACAACCTGCAGTACAAACAACAGACGGATACAATTATAGAAAGTTGAGTTATTTTCTGCCAGAGACTCATAGGCGGAAAAATGCGAGGAATTTGTGGCGTACAGAGGACATATCTTCCCCTCAGCGCTGTGCAAATACAATATAGATATATTGGTATACATATATATTTTTGTGAATATGCTTTAACGTCTGGCGCTATCTCTACTCGCATTTTATGGGCCCGGGCGCTTAACTTGGTCTTTATAAATCAAATGAGCCATTTGTTTTGGGATCGACATTTGTTTTGCCCGCTACAATACAATATGTGACTTTCATGGGAGCTTACCCCTAAAAAATAGATGGATGGGCCTCACTATCTAAATTCCTCAATTGTGATAACTAACCAAATGCTTTATGGCACATGAAAACAAATCTATTTGAATGGGGATTTGCCTTAATAAAGGTTCAGTAGGCATTAGTTCACTGATCAGTCCTACAAATGGTTATAGAAAGCCATTGCCCCTAGGTCAGTAAACTTGGCGATGCTCTCATCAAGATTTAATTAGTTGAACATCTCTTCTTAATAGTATGTATTATTATTTAAAATATATATTTTAATTTTATTCACTCATAACTTTCGAGGAAAAACCCAAGGAAGCCGATTTTCTATTTATGGTTTAGTTCGCTGAAAAGCCGCAGCTCGAAACGTTTTGACAAATGTTCGCGTATTATGAATCAAATCTAATTTTGGCCAGGTTTCTGGCGTCTGCCATCAAGAAATGAGCGAAGAAGAAGCCCCAAAAGTCAAACAAGTTGAACAGTTGAACGTTGATATACACGAGTGAGTGGGCAGCGATCGCTTTTATAAGGCGTTCTTCTGGTTGGGCAATAAAACATGTGCACACACATAAATCGAGAGCGATTTGAATTGCCGTTACGCATACGACATGTTCGCCACAGCGAACAGCAAACATTTCGCACCCCAGTCGCTCACTTTCCGGCTGACATAAACTTATCGGTAAGGTAACACTTTGAAGTACCCCTGATCAATAAATATTTTTTCCTTACAAGTGCGGAGGGTGAAGGCGTTCTGCTTGGACATGAAATCATAAGATTAGATATCACTTGTGTTTCTTTTTTCTTTTTTGCCCGATTTCTGCGTCATTTACTAATTTATCACAATGATGTTTTGTTCGAGAATCGGTCGGACTAACCTTTGTAGATCGCTGGTTTTAGATCACAGTTGGCAACTTCTTTTCAAACTCCCTCGATTTCAATTGAATTTCATATTACGTATACGCCTCCGTTTTGATAAAGCACTTAACTCGGGCATATATAAAAGTATGTGTCCGTTTATATGGCTGAATAATCAGGTTGGGATGAGGGGCTTATCAGAGACAGACACACACGACTGTGGAAATTGTGTACATGTGTGTGTGTATATTTTCATATAGAATTTACTTTCTGCCCGCCGCGATTTTCTTCTTGCAGGACTTTTACTTTCTCCACTCACTGACTTTTTCACTTTTCGTTGGTATTCTCTTTACTACTTTCGTTGTTCGTGGTGCGATTGGTTTTTATTTACTTGTGCAATACTGATAACAAAGAGAGTTCGTTTAATTGTTCGTTAATGGGCAAAAAACCCACGATTCTTTGCTCATTGATTTCGTTCGGTACTCGCATAGGAGAAAATTATTATAAAGGTGATTTGTATTATTTGTTTGTTTTTTTTTTTTTCAACGACACACACGCTAGCAAAAAAGAACTACAGCAAAATTATTTCCGCCTCGGCTGAGTGTTTTTGCTATAGTATTTCTTGGATTTCTTAGCGCGTCGCTGGTTCGTTCGTTTCGTTAACTAAAATAAAAATGAGCGCCCAGCACGAAATTTCTAGCTCCACAGGCAGCGGCAGCGTGGGAGCTTGGCAGCTCGAGAGCTTTTTCAGCGCGGTCGCGTCGCTGCCGGCGTCACTTTAAAGTGCGATCAACAAAGTGCACTGGGAGAAAATATTACCGAAAAATAAGTAAATAAAACTTGGGATCTCTTTTGCACATGCAATTAGCCATAAGTAAAGTTCTAATAGAAAGTAATTGAAATTATTATAGAAAACAAATTTATTAAAATTAAATTTATTAAGACCATGCTGGTGCAGCTAAGTGATACTTTACTATAGAAATCTCTTGTTCTGTGAATTTGAAGCATTTTTTTAAATAATACATATGTATTTGGAACTTTTGGTACCGTGTAAGAACAGAGACAGTGAGTGAGGAACAGAGACAACCGAGCAGATAAATGGCAACACATGGTTTAGCTTTTTAGCGTATGAGTTTCTGCGGCAGAGGAATTCTAGGAAATCAAATTGTAAATACAAGTCTGGGCGGCTCTCCCCCAGCTTTTGTATGTGGTTAGTGTGTGTTTATTTTCGCCGTGTTTCCCTTCGCTTAATCTTTAATTTATGCCGTGAATAATTTGCATTTCCATAATTCAGGCTGCCAGGTCGGGTTCGATCCACGTTTATGTGTGGATGTCTAAGCTTTTCAAGCCTAAGCTTCTCTAATTAACGAGTTCTCGGCTTGCGGTCGATTTGTAGCTCGTTCTTTCTGATTTTCTGACTCGAGATACTTTGAGATTGTATCTCATTCTACTCATTTCAATTTGCGGTGTTTACTTTTCTGATACCACGGGACTTTTTATTGGGAGAGCGCGCTAAAGGTCTTTGTTTTGCTTTTATTTGAATAATTGGGTGCTAATACATGTATAATTATTTAGCAAATTTGCTCAGCCTTTATATTTTATTTTAATTATTGTTGAGACAGCTTGCCTAATAGAAATAAATGGGTTTTAATGTATATAAATTGTTTGTTTTATTGTTTGTTTATTATGTTTATTGTATGTTTATGATCTTTATTTACTGTTTATATGTTAAATATTATTTGTTTGTGCTTTCAGGTATTTCTTCTGCACAACTCAATGTTTAGGTAAGGATCTTAAACAAATTATAATCATATCATATCCCGCGTCATAGCCGTTTATTCATTTGGCTTAACTCAACAGTTTCTTCGAAAGTCAAATCATATCGCAAAATTGGCTTGCTAACCGTCTAAAATAAAGCTCATTTCCTTGGAAAACTTAAATTGTCATTGCCACTCAAAGAAACCCAATTCGCCGAAGCAGTGTGTAATTTGTGTTTTCTTCTATTGAATGAATGAATGAATTTGTCGATTCTAGTGCTACATATATATGCATTTATTAGAACCCCTATACATATGCTGAACTTCTGATCACAGCAAACTAACCGCAATGATGATGATGATGCTGCTTGTTGAACTTGGACCACAAACACACAATCTCAGTCACAACCAGGATGTATGTGCACACAGATAAGCAAGTGAGCCGGCGAATTCAGCACGATTCACGAATAACAAATAAAGATCCGGGGAAGTGGGCAATCCGGGGGGGAAATGGAACCAGCCGGAATCGGAGGCACTCTGCTCCGCTGACGTAGAATTCGATGGCGACGAAGTGTGCCGGCTGCCGGCAAGTGACTCAGCCTCCATTTAAAGCGAGTCAATAAGAACACCAAGAAGAGGAGAATGTGGAGAATGTGTTTTTGTTTGGATACCCTAGACTATGTGGGGTACACTCATTTTGGGGATTCGCTTTGAAAGTATTACACAAATGGAGTGAAGGTTCATCTACGTTAGTAGCATTAGGTAATAGCATACATATTGGAGTCAGCTCTACTCCGTGATATAAAAATAAGTCACATCCGTTTTGGGTTTTTGTTGCAAATAATTTGAAACAACAGATGAAGTTATAGTGTATCATATATGATACATTAAAAACCCCCGACAGTGGCAATCTTTCTCATTTGCTTGTGTATGGGATGTTCAAACATTTGCGACAGTCATTGCAGCGCTTAACTAGCGGGCAAAATGTGTCATAAAATTGTTACAGAAGCAAATGATTTCCCTGTTTACCTCATTTATAAACTGCCAAGTTCCAATTTAGTAAATTAAATAAAGTGGGAATCGAGCTCGAGCAGGTCAGGACCTATTTTTGGGGTATGAATGGTCAACAGCATAGGAACTTTACTATCAAATCGATTTCCATCAGGTCAAAACTATTTATATGTATGTATGTTCAGCTTGATAACACAGATCAGATAATACATGAAATCAAAAATGTAAAATATTGATGGACAGTCCATATGACAAAATTCAAGTGGGTCAGTACCTATTTTAAGCAGATAAAAACTATAGACTATTAGATTGCCAGCATTCTTATCGCAATGAAAGCGGGGAAAATACAAAGATAAAAACGTGTGCTGGCTATGCAAATTCTAGTGAAAACCCAATTCGTATCTAATCTATATGAATCGTAAAACCAAAGCATAAACAACTTGTTAAAAGGTCATTAAAGCGTTTAAAACATTTTGCGGCACGCTTCGCCCCCTCGACTGCTCAACTTCTCCCCTCGCCTGAATTGTTCAATAATGCTTATTTATGTATGTACATATGTAGCTACAACTCAATCAAGTCAGGCAAATAATAAATATGTACGTGATTAATAAAATAGATTTTGTTTGCCCAGCAGCCACAACGTCGCCAGGGGGGCAATGAAAAACCAAAGGGTAATCTTATCAGACCGAATAGTTTTCGATGGAAGGGCGTTGAGTTCATCGCAGAACTGAGGATCGGTGGTTATCAAGTGTTAACCTCTAGACTTATCGATGGAGCAGAGCAACACCACCGAAAGGTACTGCAGATTAGGGGGTTCCTTAAGTAATGCGTTAAAAATAGCGGCATTATGCGAGCTCTGTTTGATTCTAAAACGGTTTGCCTTTGATATCTGAATTGCTGACCACGGCTGCGTCAGATTCTATTTTGTCTAATCGAGCACTTGAGTGGATGGTATTAACAATAACAATAACAATATTAACAGAAGGAAAACTAGGTAGAACAGAGCAGATCCCTGCGCTATGGTAAAAGTGATCCTCGCATTTCTCGTTTCTAACCTGTTGTGATGTAGATGTGGACTGGTGTGAGGTTTCCTTAAGACTACTGCATGAACTAGAGCTGGTGTTGATTTGCCTGCCATTTGCAATGCTGTGGTGTCCAGCACCACCCACTGCACCACCCACCACAGATCCATTCAAGGTCGTCGGAGTTAGGGTGCTTATGGTGGTGCTACTGCCAAGTGGTTGCGGTGAGCTGTTCTTCTTGTGGAAATTCTCGATCAGCGAGGATGGTGGACTCAACACCCCACTTGGCGAGCTATCCGAGAAGTCTGTCATCTGTGGAGAAAAAAAACAAGTGGAAGTATGAATGATACGCGGATATACGTTAATATGATAAGTAAAATACGACGACATATGTAGCTGACAAGTCGGACAGCTGTAGGTAAAATGACTTGGTGATAAAAAGCCAACATACAGAACTTGTGGATTCCCCATAAAGTAATAAAAAATGCATATAATTTAAGTGCCATTATAACAGTTTGTATGCTTAACGCGTTCCGTTCAATAAGATTTGTGTTGTATCTCTTGATTGGTTTTAAATGGGAATTCCTCTAATATCAGGCATAATTAGTATTTACTATAGAAGAATTTCTATTTTCATTGTAATAGATTAGCATATGTACCCTTAGAACTGGCAATTCCCAGATCTTCACAATCAGGTGCGCCTAAAATCAATTTTCGTCCACAGTTTTCCTTTCTTTGGTTACTTAATGCAGCTTTACCTACTTAATAGGCAGCTTTAGATAAAACTAGGGCAGGCCATGAAAAACCTCAACAAGGCCGTGAGTATAAACGGCTAGATAAATGGACTTTAAACGGATTTCAGGGGGTCCAACAACAAACGCCACAAACCGACAAGGCGCAGCATAAGTTCTGGTTTGATTCGGTGAATTCAGGTTGATTTATATTCTTTGGCTTGCATTTGCGTGTTTTGCAATTACAAATTTGCATAAATACAATACGGTGATTTATCTGTATTTGCTTGAAACGTAATTAATTTTTCTGCAATGCGATTTGTGAAATTCGATTGGCGCGTGGGTTGTGTTTATTACCATTTAAATCATACGACGGGTGTGTTTTGCAGTGTGTTTTGCGTGTGGGAAGCACGAGACCATTTTTAGTAAATACAGCAGCGGATATAATAATAGCGGAGCCAAAAGAAATGTCATTTGAAAACGATAATGGTCATATTGGGTGAGTCATATATTAGTAACTCTGTATAAGACATGGTTTATGGCATTTAATGTTAATAACCAAAAACATATACTATTTTTGGTTATATCTCAAGTTTGAAGAGCTACTATATGTGCATAAATTATAAGTCCAATCAATAATTGCGCAATTTGTTCAAAAGAGTTAAAACCGTTACCAAGCAACTTAGAGAGAAAGCTCTCTCCAAGCTTTTCCGCTTTTTGTTGCTCAGCAGTTACTTGCGTATCTAACGCTCTATTGGGAAACCTCCCAACACTCATTCCACTCTCTTTGGAACGCGATGTGCGGTACCACTTACAACACTGCTTGCTGCGCAGGGCTGGCATAATAAATCAGCTATCAGCTGGAGTAATTGGTTATTTTTTTGTTGTGCGCTGTGGCTGAAAGAAAAAATCGCAGAGCCAGTGTTTTACTGGCGATATTAACTGCGAAACACCAGCAAATAGTCGGGCACTTGCGGAGGAAGCCACGGTAAAGATGGTTCAAGTGGGCAACTGGATTTGCAACCTGCTTTTGCTGGCCACTTCGATGGCGTCAGCATATGCCGACGTCACAACGCAAAACGTTCTGTTGGGTGGAAATAAGAAGCACAAGGAGACCAGCACGGATAATTCAGTTGGCGGTGGTATATCGCCGAGTCTGGTGTGCCACAAGATGCTGAGGCACGTATTCGAAAATGCCACACCGCGGGATGAACAGCAGGCGGGTGTGTTCGAGGAGTACAAGCCGCCGCCGGATGCAGTGGAGCCCCTGGAGGAGGAGGCCTATCTGTGGAACTGCCTACAGGCATGCTGCGAGAAGCCCCGGAACGGCAGCAGTGCCTGCAATGTGGTCCTCGTCTTTAAGGCCAAATGCTATCACATTCGATGCCTGAGCAACGAGGGCTGCTTGCCGAAGCTTCGAGTTCGGATGCCCAACGAGAAGGTTCAGATGGTACTGGTCAATCCACTGGGAGACGCCACCTGGCCACAGCTCCTCAAGGCAGAGGCAGCCAAGCAGAATGCTGAGATCCTGCCCTACGATGAAGCGGCACTTAATTTCTGGAAGCAGCCCAGAAGGTTGAGCTACCTGGCCCGTAATCAGGTAAGACGAAATTGGTTTCTGTCTACAAACTTTAACGATTTTTTAATAATCCTGTAACCTCTCCTCGCAGGAAACCCCCGTTTATGAGGACGAAGACTTCCCATTGGCCGACAAGCGGATGAATCAAATGATCTTCCAGCCTGACGAAAACGATGTACTGGCCAACGAAGAGCTCGGCTACTACGATTCAAATTCTAAATTTACCACCTGCGACATGGAGACACCTTGTCCACCACCGCAACAATGTGTGCCACTCCAGCCGAATGCCGTGAGGGGAGTATGCACCTGTCCGGAAGGCTTTGTATGGAATAAACAGAGGAAGTGCGTCATGGCAGCGGTTCCATATAGCTCATACCTCACCAGCAATGAGGCGGGACAGCAAGAAGCGGCTGCTAGTGAGAACTCACCGGAGATATTAGCGCCGCCTTTGAAGGCTGAGCAGAACAAGGATATTGTAGTCTCTGTGATGTCCAAGGAAGTTCGATTGCCGGAGCAGGAGGTGACCCTTGCGGCGTTTACGGTGCCCGACGAGCAAACCAGTGATACCAAGTACAAATATCTATGGACTCTTATTTCACAACCCAAGGGTCCCATGAATGGCACCATTTCGGATCAGAGCAAGTCCAAGGTGAAGCTATCGAATCTCTCGGAGGGACTGTATACTTTTAAGGTCACCGTAACTGGAGATAATGGAACCTTTGGCGAGGCTACAGCCAATGTAACCGTGCTTCCGGAGAACCGAATCAATCAGCCACCACAAGTCATCATCTCGCCCAGCGAGCAGATCATCCGCCAGCCCACCACCAATGCCATACTCGATGGCAGCAGCAGCACGGATGATGATAAGATCACCAATTGGCACTGGGAGGTGATCTCGGGACCGATTGGGTACCAGCCAGTTTTGCCCGAGGTAAACACACTCCAGTTGGATCTCACTTCGCCGGGAAACTACACATTCAAGCTAACCGTAACCGATTCAAACAACGTGACCAATTCAACCACTGCCAAGATAGCAGTTCTCAAAGAAACGGATTATGCTCCGGTTGCAAATGCCGGGGATGCCGTAATCTTATATTTGCCCAACAATAATGTCACTCTGAATGGAACAGCCAGTTCGGATGATCACGAGATCGTTGCATGGGAGTGGACCAAGGATGCTAGCGACGAGGCCAAGGCTGTGGATATGCAGAACACAAGGACTCCCTATGTTCAGCTGTCCAATCTGGAGGAGGGCATGTACACCTTTGTACTGAAAGTCACCGATGGTAGCGGGCAATCCAGTACAGCTAAGGTCCATGTGTTTGTGAAGCCTCCCACGAATTCGCCACCAATTGCTGAGGCAGGAACAAATACGGTAGGTTTTGAGCAAAAAAAATAATCTTTCATCCGAGTCAATATCATACATTTTACAGACCACAAGCTTGCCCATTAATTGGGTGCTGTTGAATGGCTCCGATTCCAAAGACGATATTGGCATCAAGAGTTATTCATGGAAGCAGCTCAGCGGGCCCAATAATGCTGTCATTTTGAAGTCCAACTCATCAGTAAGTACTTATAAATCGTTATGTTGGAACTCATGCAATCACATTTAACTCTGCAGATTGCCAATGCCACCTCCCTTACCCTGGGACTCTATGAGTTCGAGTTAACCGTGGCTGATGAAAATAATAACACCGCAATGGACACCACGTGGGTGAAGATAGTTCAAGGTAATCATCTGCTTAATCCTCCGGAGTTCATAGTTGCTAATTACATTGCATACCGTCACTAGAACGCAACGCAGCTCCAATAGCCAACGCCGGTGGAGATCACACCGTCACCCTGCCGGCCACCGCCATCTATTTCAATGGCTCCAAGTCCTGGGATGACCTGGCTGTGGTCAAGTATCTTTGGACACGCGACGAGCACAGTCTTGCAGCGGGCGTCATTGTGGCAGATACCGACAAAGAACCCGTGATGATTGTGAGTAAAGATTTAACTCTAATCTCACTGCGACGTATATTATTTATACAATTTTCCAGTTGACCAATTTAGTACAAGGCCGCTATGTATTTACACTGACTGTGAGCGACGATCAAGGCTTGACCAGTTCAGATACCGTCAGCGTGAATGTCCATCGAGATCCCAAGCTGTTGAACCTGGTTCAAATGACCCTGCCTATGGGCATCTCTGTGCTCGCAAAATCCGAACTGGATTCGGTGGTGCAAAAACTGCAGTTGTTGCTGGGCGATGAGAATAAGATACAGGTCAGGGAGCTGAAATATGATTTGCATACGGATGCTACGGTCCTGGTCTTCTATGTGAACGATGGGCAGGGAAAGGCATTGGATGGTTTGCAAGTGGAGCGGCAGTTGAGAAACCAGCTTCAGAAGGATGCGTCTATACTGGGCGCATTTGCCGTGGATATTCGCACCTCCGTCTGCCAAAATGATTGCTCCGGTCATGGCTCCTGTAATCCCATCACCAGAGCTTGCATATGCGAGGCATTCTGGATGCCATCGGCAGGCTACTTCTTTAATAACCAGGAGGCCAACTGCGGTAAGTTTAATAAGGCTATTCACAGCATTAGATGCTAATTTGTTTGTATATTTTCCAGACTGGTCCATATTATATGTGTTTGTTGGCGTGATCGTGGGCTGCCTCTTGCTATCTGGAGTATTTTGGGGCATAGCCTGTGCCTGCAGACAATCGAAAAAGCCGCGTCTTCGTCAGAAAGTGCAAAAATATTCATTGATTGGTAATAAGGATGAGGAAGCAGCCAATTGTAAGTACCAAAGCCATATTCTCGTAGCAACATATTTATTTATCAATATTTTCACGTGCAGATTCTCGAAACACATCGCTGACCGAGTCAGAGACGGATTCCGATGTCCTCTTTGAGACCCGCACCAAGTCCAATGGCTTAGGCAAACACAAGTCGCACAATTCCCACAGCCATGGACATGGAAGTAGTGGAGGCAGCGGTTCTTCCGGCCGGGATG